ACCCGGGAGGCGGAGGTTGCGGTGAGCCGAGATCGCGCCATTGCACTCCAGCCTGGGTAACATGAGTGAAACTCCGTCTCAAAAAAAAAAAAAAATGCAAATTATCCTTGGGAAAAGGGTACTCTCCAAACCTGGATTAGTTTACCATGATGGCTTTTAACACGCCCCTGAAGAAACAGAACCCAGAAGACTGATGTAATTAATCACTAGAAAGACAGAGGGGCAATGGGAATATGTGGTATCATTTCATGGTTTGGAGAAAATAATACTCTACTGGAAATGTTTAGGTTCTAGTTTCAGCTCTGCCACTGGGTAAATGAAGCATTCAATCTCTCAACAAATATTCACTGAGGGCCAGGCAGTGTGCTGGGGAGAAAGTTCATTTCTCCTTGAAGCAGACTAGTCGGAGAAACTGAGACTATGCCAATAGTTATTCAAATAGTTGTTCAATTACACTTGTAGAAAGTGCAATGAGGAAGTACAGACAGGCATAACCTCCTGAGAGGAGTCAAGGAAGGTTTCCCTGAGGAGACGAGATTCAACTAAAACATGAAGGATGAGGAGGAACTGGCCGGGCAAGGAGAGAAGGGAAACAAAAGAACACCATGTTCAAGGGCCCTGAGCAAGGAAGGAACTTGGCACTGGTGAGGAGCTGAAGGAGGCCAGCATGATGCTGCACTGTAAAAGAAAGGATGGCAGTAGATAATACTGGGTAACTGGGCAGAAAGGAGGAAAATAAGGATTTTAGTGTGGGTTTTTTTTTTTTTTTGAGATGGAGTTTTGCTCGTTGCCCAAACTAGAGTGCAAATGGCACGATCTCAGCTCACCACGACCTCCGCCTCCCAGGTTCAAGCGATTCTCCTGCCTCAGCCTCCCAAGTGGCTGGGATTACAGGCATGTGCCACCACACCTGGCTAATTTTGTATTTTTAGCAGAGACAGGGTTTCTCCACGTTGGTCAGGCTGGTCTGAAACTCCCAACCTCACATGATCCACCTGCCTCAGCCTCCCAAAGTGCTGGGATTACAGGCGTGAGCGACCGTGCTCAGCTGGACTTTAATCTTTTGATACAAACAATAATGAGCTATTAACAATAAAGAATTGGCTGTGCATGGTGGCTCATGCTTGTAATCCCAACATTTTGGGAGGCCAAGGCAGGCAGATCTTTTGAGGTCGGGAGTTTGAGACCAGCCTGGTCAACATGGTAAAACCCTGTCCCTACTCAAAATACAAAAATTAACTGGTTGTGGTGGTGTGTGCCTGTAGTCTCAGCTACTCAAAAGGCTGAGGCAGGAGAATCACTTGAACCTGGGAGGCAGAGACTGTAGTGAGCTGAGATCACACCACTGCACTCCAGCCTGAGGAACACAGCGAGACTCCATCTCAAATAATAATAATAATAATAATAAAGGGTCAATAGGAGCATAGCAGGCTCTGGTTTACATTTCAAGAAGTTTACTCTGGTTGCAGTATGGGAAGTAAATTTAAGAAGAAAGTAAGGCCGGGTGCGGTGGCTCAAGCCTGTAATCCCAGCACTTTGGGAGGCCGAGGCGGGTGGATCACAAGGTCAAGAGATCGAGACCAACCTGGTCAACATGGTGAAACCCCGTCTCTACTAAAAAATACAAAAAACTAGCTGGGCATGGTGGCAGCTACTCGGGAGGTTGAGGCAGGAGAATTGCCTGAACCCAGGAGGTGGAGGTTGCGGTGAGCCGAGATCGCGCCATTGCACTCCAGCCTGGGTAGCAAGAGCGAAACTCCGTCTCAAAAAAAAAAAAAAAGAAGAAGAAAGTAGACCAGGCGCGGTGGCTCATGCCTGTAATCCCAGCACTTTGGGAGGCCGAGGCAGGTGGATCACAAGGTCAGGAGTTCCAAACCAGCCTAGCCAATATGGTAAAACCCTGTCTCTACTAATAATATAAAAAATAGCCAGGTGTGGTGGCAGGCACCTGTAGTCCCAGCTACTCGGGAGGCTGAGGCAGGAGAAATGCTTGAATCTGGGAGGCAGAAGTTGCAGTGAGCAGAGATGGTGCTACTGCACTCCAGCCTGGCAACAGAGTGAAACTCCATGTCAAAAGACAAAAAAAGGAAGAGAGTAATTTAGGAGTTACAAGAGTATTGCAGTAAATTCAGGCCAAAATAATAATAATGATAATAATAGTGGCAGGCTGTAACGTAGTGGCAGTGAAGACAGGGAGAAGTGGACAAAGTTGTGTTGAGGTGCAGTGGATCACACCCCTAATCCCAACACTGGGAGGCCAAGGTGTGAGGATCATTTGAAGCCAGTAGTTCGAGACCAGTCTGGGCAATATAGGGAGACTTCTGTCTGTAAAAAAATAAGTAAATAGGCCAGGCCCAGGCCCAGTGGCTCATGCCTGTAATCCCAGCACTTTGGGAGGCTGAGGTGGGTGGATCACGAGGTTGGGAGTTCGAGGCCAGCCTGACCAACATGGTGAAACCCCCATCTCTACTAAAAACACAAAAATTAGCTGGGCATGGTGGCACACACCTGTAGTCCCAGCTACTCGGGAGGCTAAAGCAGGAAAATCGCTTGAACCTGGGAGGCACATGTTGTAGTGAGCCGAGTTTGTGCCACTGCACTCCAGCCTGGCGACAGAGCAAGACTCCATCTGACAAGAAAAAAAAAGAAAGAAAAAAAATAAGTAAATAAAAGAAGTGGACTAAATTGAGAAGTTGCAGTCCTGGTGGTTGATTGGATTGGGAGGGAGGACCCTAAAGGAGAAATTGGTTTTCAGATGATAACTGCACTTGGTCAGGGGAGGTATGGGTTTTCTGGTGTGG